CACGCACACCGGGGTCGTCGCAATATGCGTTTTCGCATTTGCATATATGCAAAAACGCATAAAAATATTTGGCAGGGTGTTGCTTGTCTTGCTGACAACCGACAGACGTTAATAGTGAGCGGTACCCGTGTGAAAGTATACCAGAACTCGGGCAGCCTCGGGAAAAGTGGCAGACATTCGTCGGACAGGCGGTTGGTTCTAACTGGAGGTTATCAATTCAGGAATGAAGACCTGTCATAACCTGGTGCATGCAAACAACTAAACAACATTAATCACCACAACTTCTGTTTTAATATTGGTAACATTCTTCCCATCACAGATTCACCTAGCTCATCCAGCGAATAGAAGTTGTGGCGTTTATCTTGATATTCGTTTTAATCAGCTGTATTTCCATCATGGCACACTTCACGCCACCAAGAAACCCAGACAATTGCTGAAACCAATGCTGTACTGCTCACTGGCCGCTCTGTCAGCGACACTTCACTGAATCCTTTGTTTTTCACTTTCTAAAAAAAACCTGTTGCTTCCCCTCTTTCCGTTTGCATGATTCTTCCGCTCATTTACTAATGACCTTCTTACAATCCTGCACTACGTCTATCATCTGTAGGTTGTGTGTATTTTTCCGGAATCGCATCAAACAACCGCGTTACTCTCAACGACTGCAGGAGACCAGTGTTTAAACCACCCTGACCAAAGCACTGCAGACATCACGAGCACTGTTGCAGGCCACATGTGAAAATGTGGAAGGATGCGGAAGCCTGGATCTATTAACGAATGCATTTGGAGGGTTACGCAGCAAGCGGCACATTACGATTGAAGAGATACGCGCTGCTCTTGTCGCAAATCCTGATCTGCAGCGTCAGATACAGCTAATAAATCGATTCGGCACGGGCCAGGCAACCCCAGGTACTATCATACACTATAGTATCTGACCCGTAAATCCCAAATTATTGACCCGATAAATCCTAATTTGACATCCTACTAAGGTTCCTCCTGGCTCGCACAAGCTTATTTGGTCTTATCCGACAGCGACGCTAAAAGCCAATGGACGTGACACAATGACAAGTGGCACTTCTTTCATGCTGAAGTTCGACTTTGTCGCTAAGACGACCAATCTCTCCATGATTCAGTCATTCGTTTCGAAACTAAGAAAATGGCACTACACCCCCCGCTGGTCGCACCAGCTCGATTTTTTGCAGTATTTGGAGGAAGGGGTTAGCGTTAGCACTGCTCGTCGGCGAATGTGTTACCATCTGAACACCTCCGAGTACCCACTTCTCACAGAAAGTAAATAATGCAGAGGTTTAGTTTAAGAAAGATTAATCTCCTGGTACTGTTGAATGAATGCTGTGTTTGCAAACTGATTTGTCACAGTTTAGAAATGCAGCAGCAGCTCATCGAGCTAGGCGGAGATCACGTCGTTAAGAAACAACTGGTGGTTGTGAATTCAGACGACGAACTACGCTATTACGTACGGACAGGCGATATACCTTGAACATTTATTGATTGTGCAGAAAAATTCATCACATTCCATTGCCTAGTACTCTTTAAATAACTTACTAAAACAAAATGATTTTTACTCTGCTGTAAAAGATCTCTTCAGTGAGCTGGCAACGAGTTTACATGAATAAACCCAGGCCGGAACGCACCAGGCGGGTCAGTGCGATCATGCGTTCTTGCAGTACTTCGTGCTGTAGCAAGAATGCAAGGAATCACAGTACTTAGCATTTGTAACATACTGGCCCTCAAAGTTCAGGAAGTTAAGTATGCTTTTATGTGCCATCTCAATTTTAGATGCCGGCTTCAGCGACCTGACAAATGGAAGCTTACTGGGCACGAAAAAGGTTGCACTAGAAGGGATGAATTTGAAATCTTCAAGTTGCGCATGACTAGGGAACATTCCTTTAAAATCCCGGCCTTCCAGCTTTTCTCTTTCCCGCGTTAGCAGTTTTCCCGCCAAAACTTTCATGTGCTCGTACGTGAAATACAGGCGGTACTGAAGAGCTGAATTTGAAGTTTTTGGTCGTACAAGAGTAGCGAACATTCCCCTTAAGTCTCAGTTTTCTAGCTTTTCTCATTCCCGAGTTAGCGATTTTTGCGTATCTGTACGTGATACGCACGTGCATGACAGTTGATATCAAGCTCCTGGGATCGCACTTGGCCAGAGAACACAGTGGCAAAATTTCAACTTCGAAGCTTGCATAGTTGGCGAGTAGAAATACCCGGACAGACGAACACAAACACACATATATACAAACAGACAGGGTCGTCACAATATGTGTTTTTGCTGCCTGTTGCAGTGCTCTAGCGCTGCACGGCAAAAACGCATAAAAACGTAAAATACTGATGCAAAAGATCAGTTTGATTAGGAAACATTTTATGCTGTATTTTGCAATTCTGTCAGCTACCAATTTTCGGGTATTCATCTTCTGTACTTGTTTTGTGATAATATTATATGTACCAACTAAATTTTAAATGATCAGTGATATGACGCACAATTCAGTTGTAAAACGAGGCTTGCTAGTGGCGTATCCAGGAAGCCAAACGCGAGGCGGAAGGAGGGCAGAGAGACAAGACGGTTATGTACCAAGTTACCAAGTAAGTTGAAATAAGTACAACAGATGCGACCGGACAGGAAAAGGCACAAATGAAAATGTCAAAAATTGTATTTAACAGAAGCAAAGAAATGCGTTAGAAAGTATATTCATATAAACCTTGTAACACTGAAAAAAGAACTGTTCACAAAAAAAGTGATGAAAGCAACTGCCAAACAAAAACACAAGGACAGATTCCTTTGTGCTAAAAGGCGCCTAAATCGCCCTTGTCAGAAGAGGAAAACACGCAAGGTTAAATCAGGACGGTGAAACCCCGAACGTTTTAGACAATGGAATGCAAAGCCCAGCTAGAACTAAACAAAATTCAAAGACTACTGCGCTGAATAGCAGAATGACTGACTAGGGGAAAAAAATGGATGCGCGAACTCGACGAACCAAACAGGAAATGGGATCAAAACTGAAGTGGGTCTCTAATCTGAGAGCAGCTGGATACGCCACTGGCAAAATAGGACAAACACATTAAGAAAGAGTCTCAGAACTCATTGTAAGTGTTCATGGTAGATTATTATAGCGAACTGTAATGAGCATGCTACAGACACCTCTGACGAAGGCATTTGACCGCGTGAAAATCTATAACCATCTTAGAACGAGGCGTAGAAAAAAAAAAGCACTGTTACAATCTGTGAAACCTGACAGAAGAAAAGAGCGAACGCAGTGAGCATGGCATGGTTTGTGGAGAAAAGTCCGTTAAGGTTTCGAAACAGGCAACTTCAAGCCAACCAACTTTGCACTTTCCTCCAAAGAACGTTCACCACCCTGAAGCAGTAATGGTTTACGAAAACAAGAATCAGCTTTACGACTAGCTTTATCACTGCCCTGCGTTTTTTCATACATGCAAATGCAAATTTTGACGAATCCGGTGTGTAAGTGTGTGTGCGTCTGTCCAGGTATTTCAACTCCACAACCAAGCAAGCTCCGCCGCCAAAATTTCGTCATTGGGTTCCCCAGCCAAATACCACCTCTGGGCCGCAATACCAGCCTTCATGTACGTCTGGGCCTCGCATACAAGCATGTGAAATTTTTAACGGGAAAATTGCTAACTCAGGGACCAGGAAAGCTGGGAGGCTGAAGTTCCTCTAATGTTGTTTATTCCTGTTTAAGCGAACTATAGAACTATACGCTAAATGATAATGGCAATTACAAGCACTTTATTTAAGAAATATCCCTTTGATGGTTGGGCACACTGGCGGGGAAGGGAAAATATGTTCATATGCAATAAAAATACCAGTCACAAGGTCAGCTGCACGTGCAATCACAGTCTCCTTTATCCCGAACTGAGTGACTTTGGGAAATTCTAAGCGAATGACTTCCCGATGATTTCCCTCTACAACAATGGTAGTTACGAAAAAGCAGAGAATGATCGTTAACCCAAATGCGATGAAGGGATAAACACCGACGAAGAGAATGCTATGCATCTAGTATTTCTCTCCACTAGCAGAAAAGATACGAGGGCCAGAATTTTTGCTGGGTCATGCAGCTCAGATTGCGGCAACCAAAGACGATCTGTCGACTGCCTCTATGAAGCTGTGTGTCTGAATTAGCAAAGTAGAGACAGTTCATTCAAAGCGATGATAAGTGGGCAGGGGCAAGCAAATTCGAAATAAATAGCAGCGCGCACCAGAATAGCCGGTGCGATTATGCGTTTTGTGCAACTCAGCCCATCGAACGATTACCTATTAATGATTTTCACTGCTTTGTACTTTAGTCTGTGCAAAAATAGTTCAAACATTGGAAAATAGAAATTTCACGCACCAGCGCATGAAAGTTGAATTCGAAACCTTAAAAGGTGAATATCTTTCCGTGATTCCCGAGTCAATAGTTTACCCGCCAAAATTTTCACGAGGCCGTATGTGACACTCAAGAGCGCGGGAACGCTGAATTTGAATGGGCAAGGCTGAGCGTGGACAGGGGATCATTACCCTAAAATTTCAGCTTCCTAGACTCCGTGGTTCCCGAGGTATTAAATTACCCGTGAAGAACTTTCATGGGGCCGTACGAGTTACCCGCGGGTAAGGGAAAGGCTGAATTTGAATTTGCCGCGTCACTCGTTGGAAGGGAACTATG